TCTACCACCCCCAAAGCAGGGTCCCGACAAAGAGACTGAATGGACCCAGGGCAAGCCATACGCTACCCAGGCATCGAAATGGGACAGGCAAGAGCCCTAAAACTTATAAGAACATCGCCGTGGATGAATTCTTAGCTTATTATATCTCTTACTGGGTCCATATAAAATGACCAGAAAGATTATTAAGAAACAAATTTAAGGGAGCTGTTTAAATAGTTATGGATGAAAGAAAAGAGAAATTCAGCCTTAGTTGAGATTCTGCCCTTGAGCACATCTCTTAGAAGCATGAGGTCTTGTCTTAAAAAAGCTTCCCTGGAAAAAAGGGCTTTCATATGTTGATGGTGTAGTTGCTACTCATAACCTTGGAGGTTGGGGTTCTTTATTTTTTTTTTTTTTGCTTTTTGGGTCAAACCCGGCTTTGCACAAGGGTTCCTCCAGGCTTTGCACTCAGCAATTACTCCTGGCGGTGCTTGGGGGACCACATGGGATGCTGGGAATGGAACCAGAGTCTGCGGGCACGGCAACGCCCTACCCATTGTACTATCTCCAGCCCCAAGGAAGAGGTTGGGCTCTTAACAAAGGCTCGGAGACTGGAGTAGGGGAAAGAGTCAGATTAGATTGGGTCAATGACTAAGGCAGCTACACTGGGCGCAGGGAGATGAGCATGGGGGAAAGTAGGAGATAGGAATGAGGGACAGTGTGAGACCGGGATCGGTGCACTCAGTGAGATTGGGATAGGCACGCGGGGAGAATGGAATAAATGGCGGGATGGAGATTGGAATAAGCAGTGACTGATCATCAACCAATGTGGCGACCCTGTTCTCTCCTTCACACGTCTGTTGGCAGCGGCAGGAGGGGATAGGTAAGCGCTCTGGCCATGGAAAGCATGTGATGAGGGAACGCACACAGTAATAACGCTATATTTTGAAGATGTCTATGGGAAGAGAACTCTGTTATTTTTTACTCAGGTATGTGATTATCTTTTCCAGATGTAATTTTGCAACTCCAACTTTTGGGGGGCTTCTTTTTTGCTTTGTGGGTCACACCCAGCGATGCTCAGAGGTTACTCTGGTTCTGCACCCAGGAATCAGTCCCAGCAGTACCTGGTAACCATATGGGATAATGATGAATGGAAATGTCTTACCTGCTGTACTATTTCTCTGTCCCCCTTTTGGCTTGTTTCTGAGGCCATACATAGCAGTGCTCTGGCTCAGTGCTCAGGCATTATGGTATCATAACTGGTGATAGTCAGTGGATCATAGGCAATGCTGGGGCTAAAACCCAAGTCTGCTACATGCAAGTGAGTACATCACCTGCTATCTCTCTGGTCCCATAATCCAAACATTTTTGATTCAATTGAAATACAACTTGTCATAATGCCCATATAGTTGAAGCTAGTTTTTGACTCAGTAAATGAGAAGTGAGCACTTCCTAGGGATCAGAAGATTTCTAGTAATGTTTTAAATTACATTATTCTTTATATTTGTGATGTTGAAATAGTTGATCCATCCTCATATCTGTAAAGAATGGCTCTTTATTAGCTTATGGAGGCCAGCATTTGATTTTTTCATTCAATTCTTTTTATGGAAATTACTCATTTTTGACAGTAACTCTGAATTCTTCTTCTTTTTTGGTCACACCTGGCGATGCACAGGGGTTACTCCTGGCTTTGCACTGAGGAATTACTCCTAGTGGTGCTGGAAAACCATCTGGGATGCTGGGGATCAAACCCAGCTTGCAAGGCAAATGCCCTACCTGCTGTGCTATCGCTCCAGCCCCTCTGAATTCATTTTAATTTATTAATTTTATTATTTTTCATTTATTACTTTTGTTATTTTTCATATACTTAGATTTGACTCATTGTGGGCACATACATTCACACTCGGTGCTGGAGTAGCACCGAAAGAGTTGAAAAATAAGTCAAAGTTCCTGCTGTCTCAAATTATAAATTTTAATGTAAAGACAGGAGAGAGAAATCAATGTGTGCATGAAATCAATAGTTCCCTTTGACATCAGTAGATGATGCAGTTATTTGCTCTATGGGTATGGGGAATATTAACAGAACTTCGGTCTGAGGAGGATGATCTCTTAATTAGGGTGAAGACCGGGAGCAGGGCTAGAGTGTGGCCATTGTGTTTGTCACAAAATAATTCAAACCTAGCCTGGGAAAAACAAAGAAAATATGTCACCTAAAAAGGGAGGCAGGAGCTGTCTCCATCCCTGATGGGACCACTTACTCAATAATTGGTCAATTAGTTGTGGATTGAACTCAGGATTAAAAAAAAAACAAGCGCTCTACTGAAAGTTACCAATGAATAGTTACCAATTTTTGAACTGTGTGTTTCATGATTTCATCTCAGGTCCATTTTATCTAAGGCAAGACATTCGCCACTACAAGCATGTCAATGGCTTTGTCTTTTGGAGAAGCTAACTTTTATTTCCTTCTGATTTTGGCTGGGTGTCAAGGGAACATATGAGTCTGGCATGCAGCCAAAAGCAGCAAAGATATGTCTACTTAAATGTCTTTCAGAAACTACATAGGAAAACTCATCATTTTTCTAGTCCCTCTTTTCCTGTGTTTATTGAACAGAATTTTTAATATGTGAGTTAAATTATATATATTAAATTATACATTATATGTATTATACAACTGAAACCCAATAATAAACAACTTTGCAACTGTGTAACTCACTGTGATTCAATTAAAAAAATAAATTACTTAAAAAACAAGTAAAAAGATGTAAGCTAAATTATGTGATGCAATATAGCTACCTTGACAGGAGTCCACAATATTTTTTCAAGAATATTTCAGAAGTTCAATTTTATATCAGGTGGTTTCACTCATCTGTAAAATTTACAAAGTGAGCAATAACGCTTAGACATATCTGCAACTATGGTGGTTATTGCAGAAAGGGGGAGGGATTTGAAAAGAGAATTCTCTTTGGTGCTGGAATAGTACGGGGCATTTGGTGGTGGGGGTGGGATTATACACAGACAGAGGTGGTAATACTAGACCCCGAAATTCCTTGCTATTGGGAATTGATGCTAATCTATAAAAATAGAATTAACAAAAAAATTCATTTTCTGCATGAAACAGGAGAAACGTAATTGATCAGACAAACCTGAGTTTCTTTGTAAATATTTTTGAATACTGTGTTTGAGTAGAAAGGGCATGGAAAACCCAGAAAGCCAAGGTGTCATGTCCGTGAGAACATCTATGAATATATGTGTTTGCATTTGTGTTTGTGTGTATGTGATGGCGGTGTGAGACTATTCTTAGAGAAGAAACACATGTGTTCTTATGCTCCAAGGTGACCCTGACAATACAGCATCCAGAATTCATCAAGATACTAAGGAGGGGTGTGTTTCAAATTATGGGTCATCTTTGCAACTAGATTAATAAAGGATGAGGAGACATAGAATAGACAAAGTTCCTTTATCCCTGATGTGCTCGCATGAGCTGCAAATGAGCAGAGAATAGACAGCTCAAGATAGAAAAGTGAGTTTATTAGAGATTCACTGCTGAGGACCACAAGTCAGAAGAGAAAGAGACTTGGGACCCCGTTTGCTGAGAGGGTCTCTCTTTTATCCTCTAAAGGTGGGCTACAATCTTTGTACATTCTTATCAGTGAAACAGGAGATACACAGGAAAAAAGATACATAGGAAAAACAATCAATGCATCATTCCCACATGGTATGGCCTTCAGATGCTCAAAAGGAAAACAGTGTCAGTGTCTCCTGCCCATTTTTGTTATGGCCTTGGGTACCATCTCCCAAGCACTCGCATCAATCTGTTGGACCCAGTGCACTCCCATCAATCTGGTAGGCCCTTAACTAGGTTGATTGGGTCATAACAGAAATGTTTCTCCCTTCCTTCTCTTATTTAATTTAGGGGGTCAGTTTCAGTTTCCCAAGGCCCATCACATTTTCTTTATTTTCATTATAGTTTCATAATTCTCATTACATATGGCTTCTTATTTGTCATTACACCTTTTAAAGAGAGATTGTAGGGATGGAGAGATAGTAAGCAGGCCAGACATTTGCCTTGCCCATGACTGACTCAGATTCGATCCTGGGAACTTCATATTATTCCCTCAGCCTGCCAGGACTAATCCCTGAATGGAGATCCAGAAAAGCACAGTGGGGTGTAGCCCCCAAACAAAACAAAAAATAATAAAATAGAAAATGTTCTACTCGCTTGTTTCTGTACATTTGCATTCAATTATTAGTCCCAAAATTAGTCACATTGTCATCTACCATGTGACCATAGTTTACTATTTGGTTTAGGATTCTTCCTCCATCATTGAATTTGGATTTTTAGCTCTCTTCTGGTAGTTATCAATAGTCAGCTGATATTTTTCTATTTATTCTAACTGATATGATACCATATCAGATATGATATCTAAATGATATGATAGTTTCATATCATTTTTTATATCCCACAAATGAGTGCAATTCTTCTTTGTCCCTCTCCCTCTGACTCATTTAATTTAACATGAAACTCTCTATGTCCATCCAGGCATAAGCAAATTTCATGATTTCATTTTCCTTAGTGGCTGCATAGTATTCCATCATGTAGATGTACCCAAGTTTGTTTACTCAGCTGTTTGTCTTTAGTCACCTGTAAGAGCTCTGATTGTTTCCAGATTCTGGCTATCTTGAACAGTGCCGCAATGAATATAAAAGTGCAGATGACTTTTATGCATTACAGTTTTGGGTCCCTGGGGTATATTCCCAGGAGCAGTATTGCTGGGTCATATGGAAGCTCAATTTCTAGTTTTGTGAGGGATGCAAATATTATTTTCCCAAAAGGTTGGACTAGTCATTCATGCCCACAACAATGAATGGCAGTTCCTTTTTCCTTGCATCTGTACCAGCACCGGTTGTTTTTGTTCATTTTGATGTGTGTCAGTCTTTGTGGCCTTAGATATCTCATTGTGGTTTTGATTTGTAACCATGTTATTTCTCCCTCTCTTGGAAGTGAAATGGATTTCGTGGAGCGAGAAAATGACTCACAAGTTTTGGAATTTCTTCTTCGTGGGTTTTCAGACGAACCAGAACTGCAGCCCCTCATATTTGCGATTTTCCTGTCCATGTACCTAATCACTGTCTTTGGGAACCTGCTCCTCATCCTGGCTGTGATCTCAGACCCCCACCTCCACACGCCCATGTACTTCTTCCTCTGTAACCTGTCGTTCGTGGACATCTGTTACACCTCCACCACTGTGCCCAAGATGCTGGTGAATATACAGACACACAACAAAGCCATCACCTATGAAGGCTGCATCACACAGTTGTATTTCTTCATAGTCTTTGTAACATTGGACATCTTACTCCTGACCGTGATGGCCTATGACCGTTTCGTGGCCATTTGCCATCCCCTGCACTATGTAGTTATCATGAACCCTCAGGTTTGTGGACTCCTGGTTCTAGGATCATGGGTTCCAAGCAATCTGATATCACTGTTGCAAAGCTTAATGATACTGCGACTGTCCTTCTGCACAGATTTGGAAATCCCCAGCTTCTTCTGTGAACTCAAACAGATAGTCCCACTTGCCTGCTCTGATACATTTCTGAATGACTTGTTCATATATTTTGGTGCTGTTTTGGTGGGCATTTGTCCTCTCACTGGAATCCTATACTCTTACTCTAAGATCATTTCCTCCTTACGTGGAATCTCTTCAGCCCAAGGGAAGTATAAAGCATTTTCCACCTGTGTGTCTCATCTCTCCGTGGTCTCTTTATTTTACTGTACAAGCCTTGGCGTATACCTGAGCTCTGCCAGTCCACACAACTCATATTCTAGTGCCTTCGCCTCGGTGATGTACACGGTGGTCACCCCCATGCTAAACCCCTTCATCTACAGTCTCCGGAACAAAGACTTAAAGAGAACTTTGGAAGCATTCTTTACGAGGGGACCTACAAAAGGTTGATTGTCTTAGGTTTTAAGAAATGCCCATTTTTGGTGCATATCCTCCCTGAGCTCATGTGCTGCTTTCACCCATGTGGCCAAGCACATGTGGTGTCCAAGCACATGTGGTGCTCAAGCACACGTGTCGCCCACATCTCCCTCTTGAGATGTGGACTTTCATGCTTTCCTATCTAATGCTGGGATGTGTGTAGGGCTCTGTCCGCCCTTGGAGAAGCCCAAGTTCTCTCTTGAGCATATTACTCTCCATTCTCTCCCACTTTCTCTCCCTCTTTCCCTTTAAAAGCTCCAACTAAAGTCTGTTTTACTTCAAAAAAAGAAAAAGAAAGAAAATAAAAAAGAAATGCCCATTTTTATATTTTTTATTTTTTTGAAGATGGAAAAAATCGATTATTTATTACATTCCAAACAAGTTTGCAATATTAACAATAATACTTTACTCAAATCAGGCTGATCTGAGAATGATATAGAGATAATGGGAGTTTGAAACCCCAGTTTTATGTCTCCTTTGTTGGTCTGGCTTCTCAACTCAGACAGAAAGAATAGAGTTTAGTAGCCTCTGCCCCTGAGCTAGGTCTTGATTTTGATCCCAATAATCTGGCACTGACAGTTTCCACTTTATGATATTTGGATGAGTTACTCATTGGAAATGCCCATTTTTAATGAGGTTAAAGTGTTAGCATAAAATTGTGTTTACCACAGGATGAGCATAGAATGTTCTTTGTTTAGTATTTGCTTTCTGAATTTCTAATTCAATTCATATCATCTAATTCTTACCTCTAACTTTTCTACTGGTGATCCTATATAGCATTCCCCCCATTTTGTTATTCTATCTTCCTAAATTAATTTACCATCATATATTCTAATATTTGCAAATACCATTTATCTAAAAAGAAACTTTCAATGTTATGTTGATTATTTTGAGAGTACACTACCTTGTTTTTTCACTGTCACTGTCACTGTCCTCCCGTTGTTCATCGATTTGCTCGAGCGGGCCCAGTAACATCTCCGTTGGAGACTTCATTGTTACTGTGTTTGGCATATCGAATACATCATGGGTAGCTTGCCAGGCTCTGCCGTGCGGGTGAGATACTCTCGGTAGCCTGCCTGGCTCTCAAAGAGGGGTGGAGGAATCGAACTCGGGTCGGCCATGTTGGCTGCTTGCAAGGCAAACACCCTACCTCTGTGCTATCGCTCCAGCCCCGCCGGAGTGATAGAATGGTGGGTAGGTGCTTGCCTTGCAAGTGGCTGTTCCCATGTTCGGTCCCCAATACCTTGTTTTTTAAGCCTGAAAATTTCATATAACATCAGATAGTGGTAATTATTCCCACATTACAAGGAAGGTTTTCTATTAACAAAAAAATGAATAGCACATGGCACATTAATGGAATTGATGATAAAATTTATGATAGTACAGCCAGGAAGGCATTTTCCTTGCATCCCATATGGTCCCCCGAGCAATGCCAGGAATAATTCCTGAGTATAGAGTCAGGAGTAACCCCTGAGCATTGCCAGGTGTGACCCAAAAAGCCAAAAATTTTACGATATTGTAAGTAGATGCAGAGAAAGTATCTGAAAAATCATTATAATTCCATAACAATAAATAGGGAGAAATACAAATTCTATAAATATATACTAATGTATCTGTTTCTATTGAATTCAAGGCCCCTAATATATCTATGACAGAGGGTATGAGAAAGAACAATGTGAATAGAAATTAAATTTTAGTTCAAGAAACACAAAAACTGAGTAAAATTTTTGTCTGTGTCTATGGGTGTTTAAAAAATTATCTTAAAACAGTTCCACCCATTTGCAAATATTTACAGATAGAGATGTTTCTGACTTAAGAATCTGAATCTGATTTAAGAATCATAAACATCTCTATCTATAGATATTTGTAATAATTTATGGAGATAAAAATCAGTTAAACTCGAAGGAATACAAAAGAGTATAATGAATATTTGGATTAAAATGAAGAAAGTAAATATAGACAAAAAAACTGAAAGAATGGCCTACCACATTTTTGATGATAAATTGCTTTACTCTTCTCATGCCACAAAAGAGATGGAATCATATTCATATATATACATGGAGATATTCACAGTTGCCGTTAATGGGTCAGATTATCTAGAAATCAAATGAAAACTCATTCTTTGCATAATATAAAGTTTCAACATGAAATATATATGAACAGCCAAATAATGGATTGAAGACTACAATCAGTTTTTATAAATCTTGTGTTAATGAGTAAATTTGTATGCTAGGTTCTATTGCTACTGTGAAATTCCCAGACTCAGTGATGAAAAGAAACCAGTGTACTGACATTTCTGGAAGTCTGAAGTTTGTCTCCTTGGGTTGATGCCTCAGGAGTGGGTCTTTTCAAGAATCAGAGGAGAATATTTCCCAGTTGTCTTTGTCTTTTGTGGACCAAACACCCGTTTTAATGGCTCAGAGCCCTTTCTCCAAGCTGTCAGTGTTGAATTTTCAATTATCTCTCTGATCTGCACTCTTTTTCTCCAACATTTACAGACCATCGTGGTTTCTGAAGAGTCAAGGCCAATCTTGAACCTTAATATCTGATTAGCAACTTACTACCTTATCCCTTAATGGTTATAAAAATATGATGGTGGAAGGAATGTGTAGTGATTTTGAAGTATCTTATTCTGCCTCCTATAAATTCTGCTTCTGAAGTCTGTTATCTGGTTTTACTGCAAACTCCCTTCGGGGACAAGAAAAACAGAATGAATGACAGAATTTGGGATGAGTCAGTGCACTATTCCTTTAAACAATTTTGTTGTTGTTGTCGTTATTGTTATTTATACCTGCTAACTGCCAAAATCCTGCACTGGTCAGATGACTGACCGCCTAATAAACACAGTTCTGGGCCTGTGGTTTTCAACCTTTGTGCACCCAAGGATAAGCACTGGTCTATGGAGCAAAGGTTGGAAACAACTGTTACAGTTGCTACTTGGATGGGGTAATTTTGGTTCATAGGCCAAAGAACAGTGGGATGTGTAATATCTTTATAATAGTGTTCATGTTTATGGTCTTGATGGCTGTCCCTCTTGGAAAGCCTGGCAAGCTACAGAGAGTATCTCGCCCGCATGGCAAAGCCTGGCAATCTACCCATGACCTATTCGATATGCCAAACACAGTAACCACAAGTCTCACAATGGACACATTACTGGGCCCGCTCGAGCAAATCAATGAACAATGGGAGGATAGTGCTACAGTGCCACAGTGTAGTTATCATGCCCGGCACCACAAAAAATACCAAATATCCTCCACCACTGTCTTACATTGCTTCTAGTCCATCTCTCACGGGCACACCCTATTTCTCACCCCCAGCTTGTTAATCTGTTTTTTTTTAAAACCCAAGGTCAAGAATTTTCCAACACTAGATATCATCTATTCCCTTATTTTGTTTCTCTCTATACCAAGATGAGTGAGATCATCTGGTGCATGTTATTCTTCTACCTCTGACTTAATTTCATTTGACACAGTTCTCTCCAGTTCTATTCAAGTTGCAGCAAAATCAAAAATTTCATCTTTTCTTAAGGTTATACGGTAGTCACTGTGTATATGTCAGTGTCCGGTTTTATCTTCATCCATCTTCTATTGCACAATTGGGCACTTTCCATATTCTACCTAGGAATCAATTGAATAAAGGATGTTCAATGGAAAAACTTATACATTGGAAACTAAGGTTGCTCTGGAAGAAGTATAAGAGGATATCAGAAAATGAAAAACAAAACATGACATGTTCATGGATTGGAAGAACTAATAATTGTCCAAGTGACCATCTTACTCAAAGCATTAAACAGATTACATGCAATCTCATTAAAATTATGATGACATTCTTTAAAGACCAAGAACAAACTCTACCATTTGTATGGAAAAGATTTGCATGGAACTACTATACTTTTAGAAGTATCTGCAAACATGATTTTCTGTGCACAGGTCTTACAACTACCAACCAGTGCCTGATCCAGAAGCACAATCTCGTTACTCAAATTTTGATTCTCAATCCATAACCTGCAGGTCAAGCATCTCAGTAATGTGTTAGAAATCCCTGATCTTGGGGGTGGAGCAATAGTACAGTGGGTAGGGCATTTGCCTTGCATGCAGTCAACCTGGGTTTGATCCCTAGCATCCCATATGGTTCCCCGAGCACCACCAGGACTAATTACTGAGTGCAGAGGCAGGAGTAAACCCCCGAACATTGCTGGATGTGACTCAAAAAGCAAACAAACAAACAAACAAAAACAAACATGAGAAATCCTTGATCTTTCCAGGTCCTACTAACTCAGAGTGTTTAAGAACACAGTTAATACTTGGCCACATTAATACTGGAGATGGGCTGGCCTACAAAAGGTTTTCATACCTTCTCAATATTTTCTTGGGATAGGTATAAAAGTGAAAATATTTCTTATGGATCATACCTGTTTCTTCATTGCCTGTCAGCCACTTTCCAAGATCTTTAGGGGAAATAGAATTTCGGGTTGGGACCCTGTCTCAGAGTTTAGAACTAGAAGCATGCCAGTTATTATAATGGAGATCCCATACTCAGTAAGATATTACCCCAGGGAAATCACCAAATTCTTTCAATCCTATGTTTCTGCAATAGAAAAAAATTACAAAACTTACTCAAAAATGATCGAATTATAAATCCTCTGAAAAATTATGTTTCATAGAATAATTCATTTCATAGAATGAATACCTATAGGTTTTTCAATGAGAAAACTTCCAAAAATAGTTAATGCAGAGTTAACTATTTTTGTGCAGAAGGTAATCTAAGCACATTCCGTATCTATGGAATATTTAAGAACTAAACAGAACTTGTGGAATATGTAGGAGATTTGTAATGGTTTTGTTAAAAGTGTCATGCTGCCAGGAATTATTGTAGGAATTAGTTTCACCTCCTTGTTGTTGAGGAGAAAGGAAATTTCTGTGCCTGCCACAGAGGCAGGGGGTGGGGGGTGGGGGATGGGGGTGGTGAGAGGG